CCAGACTGTGGGGGCGATATGCTGACTCTGTAAACCGCTTAGAGAGGGCTGAAAGCCCTATGGAGCGGTATATAAGTCTAACTGCTATTGCTATTATGAAGGTTGCGTTGTCCTGGGGTCATCTTTTGTGACCTTCTGACAAGCAAAGTCAGTGGGGAAGCCAGATTCACTTAACAATTGTGTTACTAACTTAACAGTTCAAAGCTTGCCCATCCTGTTTTTTAAATTTTCTTAAGCATACTTAGACAAACTAACTCAATGTTTCTCAACCTTAACAACTTGAAGATGTCTGGACTTCAACTCACAGAATTCCCCAGCCAGTGAATGCTGGCTGGGGAATTCTGGGAGTTGAAGTCCGGACATCTTCAAGTTGCCAAGATTGAGAAACACTGTGATAGACATTTGCAGTCCAGATATAGTGCAACTAATACATTGGTGGCACATATTCCATTAATATTAGTATTAACATTTACTAGGGTAATTAGCATTGTCATTTCAACTGGTCAGATAAGTAAAAAAATGCTGGGTTTGATTCTTTAACTTATGTAAACTGACACATTTTTGAAGACAGGGAAATTCAGTGCATGCTATTTTAGGCTGTTTATATTATATAATATTAAATAGTGGGCTTCAAAAATTTCAGCAATGGGTCCTCTGCCCAGTTGCTGGGTGGGAGTGGCCACGGTGGGCGTGGCCTAGTCAGCCTCCTGCATGACGGGGGGGACGGAGACGGACACGTTTTCGCCATTTCTAGGCTCTGGAGGGTTTCCTCAAGCCTTTGGGAGGGCAAAAACTGCCTCCCTCGGGTTCTGGAGGCCAGTTTCCCCGAGCCTCCGCATCGGTCCTGCACTTACCTCACATCCAAAACGGGCTGGGACTCCTGGAAGGGAGGGGTGGGCGGGGCCATCCAGGGGTGGGATTTGGAGGTTCTCCAAACTGGCCATAACATTAGCTACAGGTTCTCCCGAACTCGTAGCAGCCCACCCCCGAACTTCAGTGATTCACTTAACAGATGTGGCAGGAAAGGTCGAAAAATGGGGCCAAATTCATGGAACAAATTTCTCACTTAGCAACTTACATTTTGGGCTCAATCGTGGTCATATGCCGAGGACTACCTATACTGACTGGGTGTTGTGGAGATATTCTCCACCTCATCTGGAGAATAGCAGGTTGGGGAAAGCTGGTTTGGCGAGCTTTGAAGAGAGGTAATGTGCCAGATAGCCAGAGGTGAAGAATGTTCAGATGCTGTTAAGACAGGCCACTTCAACTTTGTGTTTTGACTGCTTTTTTGTCTTGTATGTGAAGACACAAGTCCTTGCTTATCACACCTCTAAAAATGTAATGACAGATAGATAGACAGACAGACAGACAGGCAGACAGACAGAGGATAGATGGAAAGCTGCAGGGCAGCTGATAGATAGAAAGCTGCAGGGCAAAAATTGCAGAAAACAGTTAAATATTGCATCCCTCAACATAGCTAGATCTATTGAAATATTATTGGAATTATACTTGTGAAGGACTACATCTTGAAAATGTTACACCAAGATGTTGTTCCTGACGTATTTAAGTGCATGTAAAATAATGTACCCTTTTCCCTCAAAAATATCTATATCTAATTCCTGGTGGGCTGCAGTGGAAACAATCCATCATACAACTTTTAACCATTTCAATTACAAGAATTTATATCCTTCATCCGATATCGTTTTGCAAAAATATTAGTTTCGTTTCTCATTCCTTCATCTTTCCTGGATATTTTGCATGTCTTTAGTTACTGATAGTCTACAGAAATAACTCTTAACGTGAGGATCCATATGAAATCAACGTTAATAATGTATCTTCTGTATATTTTTCTTAACAGAAAATTTTCAGAGCTGGCGACACTAATCAGGATGGAAGACTGGACTTTGAAGAATTTACACATTATCTTAAAGACCATGAGAAGAAAATGAAACTTGCATTTAAAAGTCTGGACAAAAATAATGATGGTAGGATACAATTTTCTGCATTTGTTGTCTAGGTTAAGAATGCAAATTTAAATATAAGTAAATAATAAAGAATTGCCCCTGTGAGTTGGCAGTGTATTTGTGCAATATTAAATAATTTTTTAAACGTGTATGTGTTCATTAATAGCTTCTAATTTATTACAGAAAACATTATATAACTCACTAAAGATTTCTTTAAATCCTCTAAAAGTGCCAGGAAAAGTAAAGAATACAAACTGAGGTTGTTATTTATTGATATAGAAATGAGTGCTTAGAGCAGTGTTTTTCGGTTCCACCACAAAACCGCGGTAGACTAAAGCGCGCTCGACGAAAGCGCATACCTGACGTCATCACAGCGC